ATAGACATATATTCATTTTCTTAAAAATGTTAATTGCCAAGGGAGCTCTGGTGGCCTAGTGGCAAGACGCTGCACTGTAATCCCAGAGGTACGGGGTTCAAATCCACCAGACGCTCTGCTGGAGAAGGAGAGGGCAATCTCCTCCTGTACCAGTCAGATCTGATTTGATGGTACACATAAAAACAATACAATAAAAATTAAAAAAAAAAAAGTTAATTGCCTTTCTTTAACATTTCAAAACAAATTTCATTTGCACATCAGAGCGTAGTTTTGAAACTTAAGTTATATGATTTTAGAAGAGTGTGTTTCATGTTGTCTTTTTAAAAAGACACTCGTTTTTATCCTTAGACACCCATCCAGATATGATGCCTTGCTTTACCTGAATGAGTTCAGAATCGTCTAATCCCACTGTTATTCTCTCACTCACCTGAAAAGCTTTCACTGTTGTGTTCAGGTAACTTAATCCATCGTTGTTCACCTCGGTCCAACCAGGTGAGTGCATCAGGTTTGCTAGGTTGGTACCCTGTTCATGGGAAAGCAGATCATCTTAGACAAATCAAACTGACAATAGATTTGAAAAGGATGCATGGTAGGCGGGGACAGGGAGGAAAATGTGCAACAATGAATGAATGGATATCCACGTTCTCTATAAACTTTCATTAAAATCTCAATTAAAAACAGGGAGGAGGGATCTCTGGTGGCCTAGTGGCAAGAATCTGCACTACAATCCCAAAGGTGCACGGTTTGAATCCTCCAGATGCTCTGCCGGAGAAGGAGGGGCAAACTCCTGCGCCAGTCAGATCCAACTCTACGGTACACCAAAATAAAAATAATAAAAAGAAATAATTTTTTTTAAAAAAGGGAGGGGAGGGAAAGTGTATTTCTCTTAAGTTCTAGAAAGGAAAAGAGCCCACAGGGAAAAGGGATACATCATATTCATTTTTGTCCTTTGACACCCATCCTGATGTGATACCTTGTTTTACTTGAAAGAGTTAAAGAGTCTCCTCCCACTGCTACTCTCTCACTCACCTGAAAAGCTTTCACTGTGGTGTTCAGGTAACTTAAACCATCGTTGTTCACCCCGGTCCAACCAGGTGAGTGCATCAGGTTTGCTAGGTTGATACTCTGTTCATGGGAAAGCACATAGTCTTAGACATATCAAATATGCAACAGTTTTGAAAAGGATGCATTGGGGGGGGGCAGGGAGGAAAATATGAAGCAATGAATGAATGGAAATCAAACTTCTCTCTATAAACTTTCATTAAAATCTCAATTTTAAAAAAAGGGGGAAAGGCTAGCTCTGGTGGCCTAGTGGCAAGAAGCTGCACTGCAATCCCAGAGGTACATGGTT